GGCCCCGCGCGGAGCCCGCAGCCCGAGGGGGTGGGTCCGCTCCGCCGCCTCGCCCGGCCGGCCCAGCCCCTCCGCAGAGGAAACTTCCCGCGGCGCCCCCTCCGCGGCCGGCGGACAACGTGAGGCTTGCGGACCGGGGTGCGGGGCGCGGGGCGCGGGGAGCGCGGGAAGGAGAGGGCCGGGCGCGGGGCTCTGGGAGAGGCGGGGGCCCGGGCCCGGGGGCGGGGGGCGCGGGGGGCGCGGGCCGGGCGGGCCGGGCGCCGCGGCCGCACTTGTCCTGTAATCGATTGCCGAGCGCGCCGAGCGGCCGGCGCAGCCCGCGCTCCCGGCGCCTCCCGCGCGTGCGCGCGCACCCTCCCACGCTCCCCCACGCAGGCGGCCCGGGGGGCGCACCACGCACGCGCGCACCCTCTCCCGGGGGGCACACCACGCACGCGCGCACCCTCTCTCGGGGGCGCATCACGCACGCGCGCACCCTCTCCCGGGGGCGCATGCACGCACGCGCGCACCCTCTCCCGGGGGCGCACCACGCACGGCCGCCCGGAGGGCGCACCACGCACGCGCGCACCCTCTCCCGGGGGCGCACACACGCACACGCGCGTGCGCGTACGCACGCCCGCCCGCCCGCCGGCCGGCGCCCCCTGCCCGGCCGCCGCCGCCCGCTCCCCGCCCTCCACCCGCGGGCGTCTGCGCGAGTGCGGCGGGCGGGCAGGGAGCAGGGAGCGGCGGCGGGGAGCGGGGAGCGGGGAGCGGCGGCGGGGAGCGGGGAGCGGGGAGCGGCGGCGGATCGGTTTCTCGGGGTTTGACCAGCTGTCCCGGGCTCACCCCGCTCGGCGCCGAAGATGGAGGAAGTCAAAGCAGGCGCACCCCCGGCGCCGGGGCCGTAGTGCCCCCGCCCCCCGCACACACTCCCACTCCCACTCACACTCACACACAGTCACACTCACACACAATCACACTCCCACTCACGCACTCACACTCCCACTCACGCACACACACTCACGCACAATCACACGCGCGCGGGGCGAGCGGGCGCACACTGACAGTGACGGGGCGATGGGAGCGTGTCCCCGCACGCCCGCCCTCTGAGGTAACGCCTCCCGCGGGTCTGTCCGCGGCCGTGGGTCCGGGCCGTGGGTCCGGGCCCTGGGGCGGGGGGCGGGGGGGGTGCTGTCAAAGTTGCGGGGCGGGGCGGGGCGGGCGCCGCTGTGCTTGGCGGCGGCAGCGGACTTGTTGCTGGGAACCAGGGCGGGGGACAGCCAGGATGCGGCGGCGCTGGCATTCTCCCGGCGGGCGGGCGGCTGGGGGGCCGGCGCCCGCTCACCGCTCCGGCCCGGCTGCTCCTGTGAACTCCCACCCAGGGGGGCCGCGCTGCAGCAGAGAGGGCAGCAGTGACGGTCCACACCCGCTGCGATTTAACTTAACGGTCACACTCACACTCTTACACACTCTCACACACTCACTCACACTCACACACTCACACTCACACACAAACTCACACTCACACTCACACTCTTACACACTCACACACTCACACACTTACATTCACACTCACTCTTACACACTCACACTCTTACACACTCACACTCACACACTCTCACTCAGACGCACACGCACACACACTCACACTCAAACACACTCACACTCACACTCATACACTCACACTCACACTCACACACAAACTCACACTCACACTCACACTCTTACACACTCACTCACACACTCACACACTTACACACTCTCACACACTCACTCACACTCACACACTCACACTCACACACACACACAAACTCACACTCACACTCACTCTTACACACTCACACTCTTACACACTCTCACACACTCACTCCCACACTCACACACTCACACTCACACTCATACTCTTACACACTCTCACACTCACACACTCACACACTTACACTCACACTCACACACTTACACACATTCACACTCACACTTACACTCACACTCAAACACACTCACACACTCACACACTCACACACACTCACACACTTACACACATTCACACTCACACACTCACACTCTTACACACTCTCACACACTCACACACTCACACTCACACTCACACACTTACACACATTCACACTCACACTTACACTCACACTCAAACACACTCACACACTCACACACTCACTCACACACACACACTTACACACATTCACACTCACACACTCACACACTTACACACTCTCACACACTCACACACTCACACACTTACACACACTCACACTCACACTCTTACACACTCACACACTCACACACTTACACACATTCACACTCACTCTTACACATTCACACTCTTACACACTCACACTCTTACACACTCTCACACACACTCACACTCAAACACACTCACACACTCAAACACACACACACACACACACACTCACACTCACACTCTTACACACTCACACACTTACACACATTCACACTCACACTCACACTCAAACACACACTCAAACACACACTCACACACACACACTCACACTCACACTCTTACACACTCTCACACACACTCACACACTTACACTCTTACACACTCTCACACACACTCACACACTTACACACATTCACACTCACACACACTCACACTCAAACACACTCACACACTCACACTCACACACACTCACACACTCACACTCAAACACACTCACACACTCACTCAGACGCACACGCACACACACTCACACTCACACACAGTCACTCACACTCACTCTCACACACACACTCACACTCACACACTCACACTCACACACACTCACACACACTCACACACACAGTCAGACACTCTCACACTCACACTCACACTCACTCACACCCACACTCACACACTCTCACACTCACTCTCACTCACACTCACACACACTCGCACTCACACTCACACACTCACACACTCACTCACACTCACACTCACTCACACACCCACACTCACACTCACACACACACTCACTCACTCACACACACACTCACTCACACACACTCACACACTCACATTCACACTCACACACTCACACTCACACTCAGACACTCACACTCACACTCACACTCACACACACTCACACTCACACACACTCTCACACTCACGCACACACACACACACATTCACACACACACACACTCACACACACACACACACACTCTCACACTCACACACTCACACACACTCACACTCAGACACTCTCACACACACTCTCACACACTCATACTCACACACTCAGACACACACACTAACACACACACAGTCACAAACACTGACACTCACTCAGACATTCACACTCACACACACTCACACACACACTCACACTCACACACTCAGACACACACACTAACACACACAGTCACACACACTCACACACTCACACACACACACTCTCACACTCACACTCACACACTCACACACTCACTCACACACACTCACACTCACACTCTCACACACTCACACTCACACTCACTCACACACACACACTCAGACACACACACATCCTCACACACACACACTCACACTCACACACACCCTCACACACACACACACTCACACACACACAGACACACACACTCACACACACACACACACACTCACACACCCTCACACACACACACACACTCACACTCACACTCACACACTCACACACACACACACACACACACACACACTCACACACACACACTCACACCCACACTCACACACTCTCACACTCACTCTCACTCACACTCACACACACTCGCACTCACACTCACACACTCACACACTCACTCACACTCACACACTCACTCACACACACACAGTCACACTCTCGCTCTCACACACCCACACTCACACTCACACACACACTCAGACACTCTCACACACACTCACACACACACTCAGACACTCTCACACACACACTCACACACTCACACACACACACTCTCACACACACACACACTCAGACACACACACACTCACACTCACACACACACTCACACACACACACACTCTCACACACACACACACTCAGACACACACACACTCACACACACACTCAGACACTCTCACACACACACTCACTCACACACTCACACACACACACACTCTCACACACACACACACTCAGACACACACACACTCACACTCACACACACCCTCACACACACACACTCACAGGAGCAGGAGGATGCGCAGAGCGGCCGGCCGTGGGGGTGCTGCGCTGACAGGTCCCGGGCCCAGGATGGAGGGCGCCCAGCTCCCTCGCGCCCAGCGCCGCCCTGGCGGAGACACAGGCAGGCGGCAGTCTTTCTTGGGAGGTTGGCCGGTCTGCCTGGCGGTCCCTCTCCACCCCCTTCTTTCCCCTTTCTTTTCTCTCACTTTTCTTGTCCTCGCTTTTGGCCGATTCTTAAAGAACCGGTGGATCAAGTTTGTTCTCTTCTCCTTAATCGCATTGCTGTAGCACTGGCTGACCTCTCTCTCTCTCTCTCTCTCTCTCTCTCTCTCTCTCTCTCTCTCTCTCTCTCTCTCTCCCTCCCTCCCTCCCTCCCTCCCTCCCTCCCTCCCTCCCCCTTTTCCTGAAAGTCCGTGGTGCCATTCCTGAGCGGCTTTTCCTACCAGACCATCCCGAGGGGCGAGGGGCGGGGAGAGGGAGGAGGAGGAGGAGGAGGAGGAGGGGGGGGTGGCCTTCTCTCTCATTTCTTGGTTTTGTTTATCAGCCGATCTGCTGGCTGGACCTGGGCTCCGAATGACCCACCTGTGAGGTGCCTCTCCCGCCTCCTCGCCTTGAACTCTGCAGGGGGCTTGGCTGGGAGGGGGCTGGGGAGGGAGAGAGAGAGAGAGAGAGAGAGAGAGAGAGAGAGAGAGAGAGAGAGAGAGAGAGAGAGAGGAGAGGGAGACACAGAAAACTTCTCTCTTTCTCCCTCCGTGTGTGTCTTCAGCCCGACACTGTCACCTCCTCGGTGCGGAGGGGTTGGAAGAAGCTGAGACCTCCCCGGCAGAGGCAGAGCTGGAAATGGTGATGAGTCTTTTTTAATCCAGGGACAGTTCCTTTTGTATGTACATTTCTTCCTTTCTCCTTCTCCCCTTCCTCTCCCTCTCCGCGCTTGCCTTCTCGGAGGGTTAATAACCATTTCATTGATGCGGCAGACTTGCTTCTTTCGCTTCTCCCTGGCTGTTGCTTTCTTTCTTTTTGTTAGTGTGTGTGTGTGTGTGTGTGTGTGTGTGTGTGTGTGTTTGAACGTGACCATGTTTAAAGAGAGAAACTCACTTGTAAAGGAGCCGAAAGAATGGATCCCCCTTTAAAAACAAAACAAACAAAAAAAAACTTTACTACGGATGCCTTTCTCTAACGCCTTATGTAATCCTAATTTGAAAGAATTTGATAGCAGGACAGCAGGTTGACATGTAAGTGCTGTGTGGTGGCTGAGTTGGGGATCTGATCTGATCATTCCACAAAGGAAGAAAAGTTTTTTTTTCTCCTGGGGGTGGGGTGGGAGGGAGGGTGGTGGTGAGCAGGGGAGGGGAGGGAGAAGGGAAGTGGTTTTGGAGACAAGTGAAGCTGCCTGTTTTCCAGTAAGTAATGGAGAAATTCCAGGAGCCGGGGCTAAATATACTTGGCGATCAATACAGAAATGGCTCATTGTGAATAATTTAGCTGCTGGTGCAGTGAGAGTTTTGAAACTAAAGGCAAAAAGGACCAGGGCCAAAGTGGGGAGAAAAAAAAAAAAGTAAAAAAAAAAATCTCCTCCAGGACATGTCAATTCTTTAAACTTTTTTTTTTTCTTTCAAAGAATACAGCCAGCTGATCGATCTTTTCATGATGTGGAATCAAAGCTAGGGGGTGGCATCTCACCCAGCTTAACGTTTGTTTCTGAGAACCAAGTTCTCGTTTTGCGTCACTGTTGCATGAGAATAATTCCCCAAACTTTTTTCTTTTTTTCTTTTTTTTTTTTTTTTTTTTTTTTTTTTAAAGTGATTCCCTTCCCAACAGCGAGAAGTTGATGAAGTTTTCCAAACCAGACTGTCTTAAGCGAGCTTGGCAAATGCTCTGGCAGGAAAGGCAGGTTACGCTGAACAGGTGCTCGCCCCGAACGTGGGGCAGGCTGAGACGCCAGTGCAAGTCCAGGAGTTGGGCAAGGGCCGCAGGAATCTTAGGGACACACTGGGGCACCGAGTTTTTGTTTTGTTTTGTTTTCTTATGTATGTTTGTCGTTGTGTCCCCCCCCCCCAATCCCTCTTAGAACATGATGAACCCACTGACAACAATTGTGAATAGAGCTGTCTGTACCCCAGGGAAGTCCCCAGAATGCTCTGGGATTGTGGGAAGCAGTGAGGGGTAAAATACTTATGTCCCAGGTCACGTGGGAGATGGCCCCTGGATTGTTGTTGTTGTTGTTGTTGTTGTTGTGTTGTTGTCTCCTCTGAACCAAGTGCCTTCTGATGAAGAGAGCCCTTCCTCTCTTGCTGCAGCCCATCTCACAGCACGTATCTTCCCTGCCCTATCTCCAGCAGGAATCAGATCATTTGCAGAAAGAGTTCAGTGACTTGCAAATGAGCACATACAGTCCACTGTAGCATGTTTCCTGGGCTCAGGCTGCAGCAGCAGCAGCACCATGGGCTGACTGGCTGCCTGGAGCTTCAGAGGAGCTGAGCGTTTGAGGGCAGCGGGGACAGGAACGCTGCGCTAAGGGTCTGATCTCCTGTGTTGCAGCACTGCACGCTGACTATGGACACAGAGGCTGTGGATGGCTATATAACGTGTGAGTATCCATTCCCCTTGCTTCTCTCTGCTGCTGGCAAAGTTCTGCTCCTGTGTTCCCTGCACTCCCAACTTCTCTATTGTAAGCCTTTTCCATGGATTCTACGCTCTTTTCCGTCTGTTCCCAACTTCACCCTTAAAGTGAGTTTATTGGAATAACAGCAAACAGTGGAATAGAAATATTCTTGCTGTATTAAAGTTAACATGTGAGTCAGTCAAGCTTAGCCGACCCACACTTTCCTGGCTGATAACTTTATACCTAAGTTTATAATAGGCCAGGCTACATATATGTCTGCTGATATGGCGTGCACTAACTATGGATTGCTCTGTATAGCTTACGTTATTGGACGCATGTTCTGAAAGAGAATTCGCTTCTGAATTCTCAACTTATTTGGCTGAAAACAAGCATGTGTTTAGCCAACTCTTCTTTCAAGCATCCAACTTTGCAAGAGCCAGCATTTTAGAGAATGCTCATTATGAATACTGGATGCTCAAGGATTAAATTAGGTTTTAAAAGAAATTTACAGTTTTTAAACTAAAGAATACTTCAGATAGAAATCAACTCATCCCCATTTCCTCTTACTTTACAGTTACGATTGTTGGGATAGTGATTTTTTTTTTTTTTTTTTTTTTTTTGTGGGCTGGTTTTGCTTTTTGTCATCTCATTCATTGACTATATATTTTCTAAATTATGTTGCCTCGCAGTTTCTTTTAAGGAGAAACACATTACATTACAATTTCAAGGCTATTGGTGCCACTGCACGAGGCAAAGTTGGTAATGAGATTTTCTGTGACCATGAACAGAGACCAAAAGATTCTCTTTTGTGAAAGCAGGTGACAATGAGCTTTCGCCTGAGAGGGAGCACTCCAACATGGCCATTGACCTCACCTCAAGCACACCCAATGGACAGCATGCCTCCCCGGGTCACATGACAAGCAGTAAGTTTTCTTTTTATGCTTTCCCCCCCTATTTCTCTAGCAACAGCCTTGAATTTGTGAGGTCTGTGGGGTCCTCTCACACGGTGGTGTGGCTGCCGTTATAGATTTTGCTGAAGAAATAACAGCAGAGATTTATTCCTGTTCGTGCTAGTATCATAAAACATGAGTCTGCTTACTAGTCTGAACTATCCCAACGTGGCATTTGGGAGCTGGTGCTTACCTGTATCAGGTAAGAAATGGTAGGCTTTTCTGGTTATTGTTTTGACTTGTCAGGTTTATGACTAGATTTGTTGTTGTTGTTGTTGTTGGATTTTTTTTTTTAAATGATGGAAACACGTCACTTCCAAAGGACTCTTTACAGTAAAAAAAATGAAATAATTTTATATTGCTCTGGTACAAAGCTAATCCATCAGTGGTAGAATTGCAGTGTTGCTTTTTTATTTTTATTTAACGTTATGTTTTTAAACGTGAAAGTTTTTCCTCCAGAGTGTTGGAAGTGAAGTGTAATTAGAAATTTGTAGAACTCATTTGCATCCATCTCTCTAACAAAGTGAGAGCTTCTTGTTTAGGATTGTCCAGAGAAGCACTGAGAAAACTTGGGAGGATGTTTTGAACTGATAGGCATAGACAGTTTTGGCTACTGTTTTTGATGAAGAGTCATTCACTGATTGTAGGAAACACTTTTGTGTAAGGAAAGAACAACTTATATGCTATCATGGACAGAGACAAAGCACTTTGCTTTCTCTTATAATGTTTTACCAGTTGAGTTATCAAGTGCAAATGCTCTATGATTACTACTCAAACGTTTTTTGAAAATGTGTGTTTCCCTTATAGTGTCGGTATATGTTATATTCTCGTGTAGAAATGATGTCTGACTTATATTTAACTTGATTTAATTAGACTTTTTCTATCTGGTTGATATGTGAAGGAAAGACATTTTCTTTCCTTTTTTAAAAAGTGAAGATTTAATAACTAAAGAAAACTGAATCACCTACTGAATTATGAGCCTATCCCTAAGTTAATTCTCATTATCTGAACAGAGCAAAATTTCCTTTCCAATTTCCTCTTTCAGTTCTCAAAATTTTAGGTTACTATAAACCTACTAGCTTTGTAAGTAGTAAAAACTACTGAATTATAAGCAAAAGTATATAGAGTACTATTGAATACATTTTGCAACTCATTAACTTTAAGTGATTCTAGCTATTGACTTGAATTTTCTTATTAAACTATGTGAACTTACTTATTTAATAGTTTTCTTTCTTCTTATTAATGGGAAGATTTCATTCTAGAAGCAGTCATTGAAATTCCTTTATCATGTAGAAAGAAAAATTAATAGGTAGTGAGTGAATGTATATTAAATTATAGTGCTAATGTCTTATAATGGATCTTGTAGCATTAACTTATTTTATTTTTTTGCTAGTTGGCTATTGATTTGATAAAAGTTACACTAGTAATATAATGTAGGCACTACAGTTTTTACATTTTAACATTTTTACAATATTACTAGTTCCTTGGTAGAATAGGTTTTTACTTCTCAGATGATCTTTGTATGATTTTGTGAAGGCTAAAAACAGATTAATTTGCAATTTCTGTTAGCCAGCTACTTAACAGTTGGCCTTAGAAGCATTGAATATAAGGGGATACATATTAATGTTAATCATAGACTTTACTAATATCCCCTAGCCACCACTATCACATCAGCAGGAAAATGCTTTTTTTTGTTTTTTTAATTGCTTCCTTTATTTGTGAATTTGATTCTAGTTTAGCAAGTACTGGCTTCAAACAGGTAGTTCACCCATTTATTTTAAATAGATAGTGCAGAATGCAGACATGATCCGTTTGAACAAATAAGCATAGTGCTTTTGACATTTGGGCTTTTTACACTCATTAACAGTTAAATTATGTTTGGTAAAGAAGGTTTTTTTGTTGTTGTTTTTACCTTACTAGCCTGTGGCAATTTCACGTTAGTATGGTTTTTTGGCCGAAGCTGCACGTGTTTTCAAGTCCCTTTCCAAAGCCTTGCAGGTTAAATATGTTGGCTCTCACTTCAGAGCTGTCTTGCATCCTTTATGTAGCCTCTATTTACAGTATCTAGGTTACCCACTTAGGTGTTAGATGGAGAAGATACCCATTTTTTCCTTTCTCTTAGATCTAGGAGAATATCAGCCTTTGAGATTGCCAAAGCAGAGTGGTAGAGAGAGACTCTTGTCTAATTTGAACAGGAGACTTAGAATCTGTCACTCATATTTTTCTATAACTTGAAATAATTTGTGTGTGTGTGTGTGTGTGTGTGTGTGTGTGTGTGTGTGGTGTGTCTGAGATCACTGGTTTTCGTAAATACCTTTACACACATTCTTGCCTTCATTAAGTGAAAAGAACTTATTTTCAGCATTTTTTAAATATCTTCATATATACTTCCTGAAAACAGAATTGCAGTTTTGATTGATAGTATTAAAGCCAAAAGTAAATGTGGAAATCTTTCAGACAGACAGCCTCCAGTAGCAAACAGGAGAGGACCAGGAGTATACATGTAAGAGAAAAAGTTATTTTAAAACAGTTTAGAAAACATAATAAAAGAATTAAAACCTTTGATTTTAATAAAAATAACTTCTGTTCTGGCAGTGAAGTGTTGATCCGATGGGCTAGCCACCTTATTTTGGCTTTAGGAAAGCGATCACTGTGGCTGTAAGGTCATCATCATTTGTTTTTGCTATTTCAGATGAAGAATGTATGTACAACCTGCTGCCAGCTATTGTATCATAAATAATGACAGCAGCTATCGTTATTTGACAGGGCTGGAAGAGAGCATCAGCAACTTGGGAGACAACCAAAAAAATGTTACCATGCCTGACAGTTTTGGGTTTTCAAACTCAGCAAATAAGATAATCTTAAAAAGAAGTCAGAAGTATTAGTGGATCTTAACATTGTATAATGACTGCGTCCTACGTTGCAGGATGAATTTTCTTGAAGAACTTTAAACTTTTTCTTCCGGAATAAGGACTCCTTTGATAGGAAGATGAGCGCTGTTGCCCGAGATCATTAGTGTACATGTCGAGTCTGCTGACAGCCTCCGGTGTCAGGGATGACAGTATATGCCTTGATGGCTACTGGAAACACACGGTGTTAAGTTATTTTAAAAATAGCTTCTGGAAGTTAAGAATCTGAGACAGAGACAACTCAGACAGAACAATATAAAAATAATCCATATTGTATTTCGGCCTCTCAGACGAGTCTTGCTTCTCGGTGATTCCTTCTGTTTCTGGGTTAGCGTCTTTCCAGTTCTTGCAAAGTCGCTTCAGTGTTGGTTTCAAACTGGTCTATACCTGCTGCTGACTATATTGAAAACAAAAACAGTTTTCAGGTTCAAGAAATTGTAGTTAATTATATTCTTCTTATCATCTACTATTATAATGCCAGGGAGTACATTTCATTTGGATTTAGTTAAATGGTAGGAAAATACAGCCTGGCACAAACTTTGTTTCTGTGACTTTAAAATCTTTACATGGATCAAGTTCGCAGTCAATATTATTTATCGGTTTGATGGCCAGATGGCATGTATGGAATTGGAAGAAGTGGTCATTCTAGTAATTCTAGTTTTACTCTGACCAATAATCAGGTTACGGAATCCAGTATATCCTTTTCAGAGCGCTTCGCAATTATTTACCTATTTATTTTTTCTTAGCTAGTTTCCATTTTTAGCAGCAGAAGTATAGTATGATTTCCACTTTTCATATGTGGAAATGGAAGCTTAAAGAAATCAGCCGGCCTTTTAGGTCACTTGGCAGAAGGGAGAAGTTATCAGGATTGGGACACACAACTGTGATATTACCTTGCAGGCTAGTTGGATTACCTAACTGCTATTTCTCTGTAATGCCATTATCTCAGGATGCCCACCATGCCCAATACTGACCCAGGCTTCAGTGACAAAAGCAGGGCTACAGAAATAGAAGAGGGTGGTTATGATGGTGGAGTAACATCAGATAATCTTGCTGCAGTGCTCTTTTAGAAAGTAACTTGTTTGGGGGGCTCCTGGTTGTCTTCTGTAGCTTGGATTGGCAGTCTCTCTTGGTTGGATTTCCTGAGGGTACACCCTAATGTAACCTCAGGTGGACCTGATGTAAAAAGTCGCTGTTTTGAATTGTGTAATACTGAGTTTTTTGTTTAAAACATATCTTAGTTTTTACTTGTTAGGAAATTTTTTTAAGTTTGCTTTTATTTATTTACACAGTATAAAAGCTAAGTGTTATGGCTCTGTACCAAAAGAAAGAAAGAAAGAAAAAAAAAAAGGAAAAGGAACCAAAGGAAGTATATGCAGGGAATTAGTAGCAAAAATACAGTATTCTTTTCTTTGTACCTAATTTCTCCCTTCCCCCCATTTTTAGGCTGTTTCAGAGTAAGGATAAAGATCTGTCTTTGAGAAACAAAAACAATTTGTTATAGAAACATTGCCCTTACTGCCTCTATGTTTTTCCAAATCAGTCTTCCTCACTGGAAGAACAATTTTGTTGTTGTTTTGTTTTGTTTTTGTTTTTTTAAATGGAACCCAATTAATTAGGATCTATTGGGAGCCTTCCTTCAAACCTAGTGTTTTGGGATCTCTGGGTCTAATTCCCTTCCCCCCTAACTTTGAATATTGATATATGTTGATCTTATTCTGAAAGATCAATAGTAGCATCCCAGACCTAACATGAGTAAACTATGTTGTTTTTCTTCCCTTTTTCCTTTATATCTGTTAACATCGAATATACTTATTGATCTGGGAGTCTTTTCCTTTTGCGAATTAATCAATACTGAGAATATTTCTGCTTTGAAATAGGTAAGGAATATTTAGAAACCATTCCCCTTATTACAAATTTTTAATCACTCCTGGACTGAGAGAAGGGAAGAGGGCATGATTTCTGAGTGTACATAGGATGCTCCTAGCGTTACGCTGTATGCATCCATAACATTTCACTTAGTTTCCACAACAGCTCTGTGAGATTAATAGTTCCTCTGTTTTA